CCCAGGGTGTGGCGGAAATCCGATCTGGGCGGGCTCCTCTTCCCTGCCTCCCCGACGCTGGCCGGGGGCTCCCCACGCTACCAGCCCCATCTGAGATCCACGGGGAGAGTGGGATTGTAGGCTGGTCCACAGGCCCCAGGGTGCCCCGCATCAAGGTAAGCAAATGGCACGTCTCAGTGCGGAGCCGCGCCAAGCTGAGATGACGAGCCTGCCCTCACTAAGCCAGCCGTCTCCACCCCCACCCGAGAAAATGGAGGCAGCTCTATTGTGGGCGCCTAGCCTGGTGTGGTAGGCGGGAGCCAGGCAGGTGGGGAGCAGTCGGGCTTCACCCCGCAAGTGGGGCTGGGCTGGGGGTGACTCACAGAGCTTGCAGAGTTGGGCCGGTCCGGCACGTTTCACTCCATTTCTGCTGGCTTTCTTGGCCTTTGTTGTCTGGGCCGCTCGTTCGTTCCTGCAGCAGGGCTCGGGTGCTCTCAGGAGTCCTCTTCTGTGTCGGCCCCAAAACCTCGAACCTGCTGCCACTTGTTTGTCGATGTAGGATCATTGTTGAAAGAATTATTCGCCTTTTGTTGCTCTTGGAAATGCAATTAATACTCTGGTATCACAGCGCACAGCTCTCAGGATCGCGCTGTCTCCTGGCACGGCCACTCCAGACCCGTCGCCATCTTGGAATCTCTCTGTGTTACAATTCTTTATCTTACAATAGAGACTATAGCCTGGGAAAATTTCCTGTTTTTTGCAAGGTCAACATTTTATATGTACTTTTAAGAAGTTAGACTAAACCTGAAAGTACAAGAAATTAAGCCCTGTGAAATATATTTGCTTTATAGTATACTCCACAGGGCAGCAGCAGAAGGCAGGAGGGAAACCAGCTGCACAAGCCCATTAGAAGCCAACTTTGGTAAAACCATATTCATGGTGCATAACTGCAGTTGTCTTTGGGAAGCAGGATATGGGTTATTTTAATTTTCTTCTTTATGATATTTGGTGTTCCATAGTGTGTAGATACTAGCTTTCAAATAACCAAAATGATATTAATTTTAGTTTAATTAATTTATTTATCTACATCCCACGATGTTGTTGCAGAGCAGTTGGGTGTGAGGGGGAGAGGGGTAGCGGGAGTGTGAAAGGGTGGGAGGAGGAAAAAGGAGGGGCATGATCGAGGCCCTTGGCAACCCCCCTCATTCCAGCAGGGGACACTAGGATGCTTCTGGCACCAGCTCTGCCATGGCTGGGCTGGATATGGACATCACGTGGGCATGGCTGAGGCCCTCAGCCTTCCCCCACTGTGACTTGGGAGCCCAGGCCACTTCTGGCAGCAGCCTGCTAGTCATCATTGGGCTGGATGCAGAAACAATGTGGGCATGGCTGAGGCCCTCAGAATCCCACTACCCAGCCTGGGAACGGGGGTGGGGGAGCTTCCAGTCCTTATACACTTTATAGGTGTTCTTTGGTGGTGTTATGCCTTTAGTGGTTAATACCAGAACTTTGTATCTGATCTGTGTGTTTTTTGTGTTTTCTTTCAGTTCTGTGTTGTATTATTAGCTATCCCCACCACTTAAACTCTGCACTGGAACTAAATTGGTGTCTTTTGCCTAGTTCTAAAATGGTGGAACTTCCTGTGGGGGACCAGCGCTTGAGCCTGTGGTTGAGCTAAATTGCTGCTGTCCTGCCGACTCTCTGGGGAAGGCTTTTTGTGCAGCTCAGGTTTTAATTGTTGACCTTTTAAGTACTTCTGGGTCTCTTGAGGTCTAGTACACCCGGGTTGTATGGAAACTCTGGTCTGGGTGTGAGTCTTTTCAGTGAACTGCACCCCCTGCAGATCTATACTCCATCTCCAGTGTGCTCTGAGTGGTCCTGTGCTGACTGGAGGGCAGATCACCTGTCCATGCTGTGCGCCAGGGTTCCTCTGGTGGGCCTGTCTCCCTCACCCCCCACACTCCGAACACATCCCAGGGGATAGGCCATGCACGGATCCTTTGCAATGACTCACAGACTTCTGAATGGCTCCTTTATTCAGTTGTCTGTGGCCCTTGCTCCTGTGTGGGTCCACGGGAACCTGGTAAGTGGTCTTGCTGGCTTGGGCACCAACAAGACCCTCTTCTCCCCTGCCACCTCCATGCAACTTCATACAAAGGTCACAGCTGTGGCTTTTGCCAGCTTTTACTCTGTGTGCTCACCAGGGCCAGGCTTGAAGTGCTGCAGTTCAAAAGTATCAGAGTGGCCCTTTCTTTCTCTCATCATGGTTTCTCCTGCCTTCATGAACTCCATAGGTCTCTTCTCCTCTTCCCCTGAGCTCTAGCAGCCCCAGCTTGGCAGTCGTTGTCTTTAATAGTTGCAGATTGGTGGACTGTGGGATAGAGTGATGCTGGGAACCATCTATTCTGTCATCTTGAATGGAAATCTTTTAAATGATTTTTTTAATGGGAGAAATTTAAAAACTCATTCTAAAATAAGAATGTCCAAATTATAAGTTAAGGCAATATTCAGTTATTTACTTTGTTTTTATTCCTCTACAGTTATCATCGCCTTTGGTCTAGGAGCAATGCCAGATGCTGACGACACAAAGTGAGTAGTATACTGGGGTCAGGAGGGAAAGCCCTTGTGGAGAGGGAAGAATAAACCAAAGAGAAACAGAGCTGTAAGAACTGGAAGACAGAGTCAGGAGGCTTCCTGGAGGTGGAGGTGTCATTTGACTTGGTTCTTCAAGGTGTGGGCAGGGACTGGCAAGTCAGAGAAGAAAGCAGGGACTGGCAGTGGGTCTGGGCATACGTTATAGAAAATATTGTCTAGTTTCCCTAATGTCAAAGAAGTTACTCTGGCTGGACCTACCCCCTAAGGTCAGGCAGCCAATCAGGATGCTCCAGAGTGTTCCCAGGCTTCTCTGTGGTTTCCTCTTGATGTACTGGGCCACCTGTCACCAGCTGTTCTCGAGTCTCATTGGAAATGCTGTCACTCACTGCAGGCCTCATATTTCACTCTGCTGTTCTTTTGTCTGAATCTGAAAATTCATTTTGTGACTCAATCTTCATGACAGCCCTGCTGAGGACACATTCAGGAGGATGAGGTAGAGCAGTGATTCTCCACCCTGACTGCATGTTAGAATCACCAGAGGTGTATTTTCAAAATCTCATTGTTGGGGCATGAACCTCACCCTGCAGACATTCTGGTTTTTGTGCTCAGTATTGGGGCCTGGACATCAGTGGATTGTGAAAGCTTCCCAGGTGAGAAAATTCAAGTACATGTGTTGCATGTATCAAATCACATAAAAATAAGAGCTAGATTTGGATGTAAAATAATTTAAAATTTAATCTTAACCGAGCCTGTGCTACATATCAGCACTCCTTGGGTGAGGCAGGCATGGGCCCTGCTCCATGGGGTGGCAGTCGGTGGCCGGTGATGAGGACAGAGCAGCCGTTCTCAGTCCTCAAAAAGTTGTCAATAACAATACTTGTAGTGGAGGGAACTGCTATGGCCCAAAAGACCCATGATGGATAATATATTGGAATCAAGCACATTCCTGCAACCCAGTGTGGCTTTTGAGTTGGAACCAGCAATTGAGGTCATTTTGATTCACCAATTACCAAGACTCAGGTCCACCAAACAAGGAGTGTCTCTACATTCCAGTAGCTGCTCCACATCAGAGAAAAGAGTTGATCTTTGAGGAACATTATTATATAGAACCTTCGTTTGAATGTCGGCTTGATGAGTTAGAAATTTGAGATGGGACAATTGGGTTCTCTCCTCTTGTAGATCAATACTGTATAATAAAAATCCCTCCATTTATTAGGTCACCTGGGAGATTCATGTGTATTAAGTTTAGTCCTGATGAAGAGCTTGAAGGACTGGGATTTTAAGCAAAATATTCATTTATTCTGGGTAAAGAATATCATCATTTCAGTGGTTGGATATCTCACTCTGATTTTTGAATCTTAAGGTTAGAAAAGGGATAAGTTGGTGAAGTTAATCAAATCAAGACTTTAAAGAAATTAGCAAGTCAAAGGGAAATTAGTTCATATTGGAAATAAAACTGTATCACTTGACTTTTGAAGCATATCATAGATGGTATCACTTTTTCCTTACATTTCACTGTTTTATACCATATTCTCAAAGCCAAAAATATTCAAATACAACATTTTTTAAATAAAAAAAGTTAACAAAATATTTAAAAACACAACATTTAGTATTATAAAGAGGTCTTATAACTGGATAGCTGCAACAGGATTACAAGTGAATCAGAGTCCACTAACAAATGACAGTCACTTGCCTTCTGTGTGCCCTTCTCAAAGACATAAATCTGTTTGTCTCCAGACCATCTTTGATGAACCACTGCTGCATTATGCTCAATTGGTGAAAAGTAGATTTGCTTGGGAATGAGATTCAGTCTTGATTCTCTCATCAGACAGAAAATGTCTTCTTGACAAACACTTTCCCTAGCGCCCCTTTCAAGTCCCTGTTCCTCAGGCTGTAGATGAAGGGGTTTAGCATGGGGGTCACCACTGTATACATCACAGTAGCTGCGATGTCTTCCTCAGCTGACTGTGAGGAGGAAGGGTTGAAATACAGAGCAATGATGGTGCCATAGAAGAGGGAAACCACAGCCAGGTGGGAGCCACAGGTGGAGAAGGCTTTCCACCTTCCCCTTGTGGATGGGACCCTCAGGACAGCACAGGAGATGTGCACATAGGAAGCCAGGATGCAAACAAATGGGGCAATCATGATCAGGGCAGCCTCGGTGAGAAGCATGAGCTCATTGAGCTGTGTGTCTGAGCAGGAGAGTTTCAGGAGGCCATTCATATCACAGAAGAAGTAGGGGATCACGTTGTCTGCACAGAAGGAGAGTCGAGCCAACAACAGGGTGTGCAACAATCCATTCATGTGGGCAAGGACCCACGATCCAGTGACCAGCAGGGCACAGAGCTGATGGGTCATCTTTGTCGTGTAATGTAAGGGGTGGCATATGGCAATGAAGCGGTCATAGGCCATCACAGCCAGAAGGAAATTGTCCATGTCGGCAAACACACAGAGAAAATACATCTGCATGAGACACCCAGAGAAGGAGATGCTGTGACTGCCAAGTATGTGGTTGGCCAGCGTCTTGGGGACGGTGGTGGAGGAGAAGCAGATGTCCACAAAGGACAGGTTGCTGAGGAAGAAGTACATGGGGGTGTGCAGGCGGGAGTCAGTGCTGATGGCCAGGACGATGAGCAGGTTTCCCAGGACCGTGACCAGGTACATGCTCAGGAAGAGCACGAAGAGGAGCTGCTGCTGCTGGGGCTGCCTGGAGAGTCCCAGGAGGAGGAACTCGGAGACGCTCGACTGGTTTGTCCCTCTCATGCTCTGAGCCCAGGTGAATGGAGGGCAGCAAATTCAGAAGCCTAGACAGGGATGGTTAAGATGTTGTCATGTTCCAGGCAGGACCATGTGTGTAAATCACATTATAGAGCTGCTGAAACAAGATGTGCCCACCCCACCTGCACTTCCAATTGCCAGTGGTCAGTTCTAATGCTTTTCTTGCAGGATGGATTGATTATTATTTTCTCTATTTAACATTGAAAAACTCACAGACATATACACAGCCTGACTCTAGTATATGTACCTCTGCTTATGTTTTCCAGTTTTCCCTCCACCCACCCAACTCTTTAGTAGCTTTTAAAGAGACAAGGAACACAGTTGATTAGTACTGAGTTCATCTCAGGTGACCACTGGTACATTCACGGCTCTTACTATTACTTCATGTATCTGGAAGATGCAAAAAAGGAGGTTCCTAAAAGAACTTCCTATCTTAATAGACAAGTATTGATGTCTCCGTGGCTGCAGCTCACCTGGAGGAGGTTGGTGCTCCTGCTGTCAGGTGTTCTCACCTCTGCACAACTGCCCAGTGCTTCTCTTTATAGCAGGGATCGGACTGTCCTGGAAACATAGGCAGGTCCTGGGTGAGGAGGAGCAGGGTTCACGGTTTACACATGTGTGATTCATTGGGGCAATCACAGACCTAGTGTTTACAAGAGTCTCCTTGGCCATGGGGACCAGATTCCCTAAGAGCCTCATTAGAGACAAAAAGAGAATAATTGTTTTACCCACTTTTTTGTCCCTTTTGACCAAACAATGATGGCATAGAGTAGTATCTAAGGATTAGATGTAACTCTTGGGTCAAAAGATTAAAATATTAGAAATGAAGCCACCTGGCTGAAGACAAATTCCAGACAAATTTCCCTGGAAGACCAGCCTCTTCACCTTGATCAGAACTGTGACCGTCAATATGGAAATTCAATCATTAGATCATTTTTCATTCCACTATCTTTGCTCAGACCTGGGGCTATACTTGTATTTTTTGTAACCCTTGCTTCTTATGTCTCATTATCCTTGGACAAGATGAGTGATACCGCGTCTTCTCCATTTACAGATGGGAATGTTAACAGCACATTACTGAGATGGACCCAACCTATGGACATGTTTGGGGTAAAGTGTAGCTTCATTCAAAGGCAAGTTTTCTCCAGGAGAGTCCAGCATGCTGTGATTTAGAAGCTCCAGGACCTTGGGGTATATCCAGTTTGGGATGTCCCTTCAACTCACATGGTTTACACTTTTTTTTGGAACAGAACTCCCTAATCCACATTATCAAAGTGTGGCAGGGCCCCAGGATTCATGTTTATAAAACATTCCTTCCCCTTCACCATGGCTGCTTGGACCAGACAATTTGGAACCAGGACTGAGGAACAGCCAGTCTATGTCACCACGTGGATTGGCTGGAATGCATCAGTCCATCATCTGATGCCTGCCTGATTCACCCCACATGGGCCAAGAGAGGAGCTAACGAAGTAAATACACAGAGAGGAGAAGATACTTGTTGGAGAAAACCCTTATGATTTTATGTTCTGGGATGAGGGTTTTCCTGGTGATGGGCTATACTCTAGCATTTTTTGCTTAGGGTTCTCAGTTGCAAAATCACAGAAACCAACTGTGGCTAATTTTAGCAGAAAAGGACTTCATTAAAAGAACATTGAGCCCATCAATGAAGGGGTGGATAAACAATTTGTACATACACTGGAATTTATTGAGCCATATAAAAGATTAAAGTCCTGATTCATGTTATAATGTAGATAAACCTCAAAACCATTATGCTGAGTGAAAGAAGCCAGACAAAATGATCATACATTGTAGGATTCCTTTTATATAAAATACACCTAACAGGCAAACCTATAGAGGTGGCAGCATATTGGTCATTGGTAGGGACTGGGGGAAAGGGGGAAATGGGGAGTGACTGCTACTTGGTAGGGGGCTTCCTTTCATGGTGATGGAAATGTGTTGGAACCAGATGGAGGTGATAACCGCACAATGTTATGAATGTACTAAATGCCACGGAATTGTTCGCTTTAAGGTGGTTCATTCTATGTTATGTAAATTTCACTTCAATAAAACTTAAAAACAAAAATGGGGCTGGCTGGTTAGTTCAGTTGACTCGGGCGTGATGCTACTAACACCAACAACCAGTTTTCGATCCTTGCATCAGCTGCTGCCAAAAAATTTATATACATAGTGAGCATCTCTCCAAATCACTAGAAAGCTAGATAGCCAGGTGTGATGGGTAATTTTATGGGACAACTTTACAGGGTAACAATGTATTTGGTCTAACATTACTCTAGATGTTTCTGTGAAACTATTTTTTAGATGAGATGAGCATTTACATCAGTAGACTCTGAGTAAAGCAGATTATCCTCCACACTGTGAGTGGGTGTTTTCTAATCAGTTGAAGGCCTTAATAGAAAAAGACACTTCTTCATGCAAGAGGAAATTCTGGCTTTACACTCAAACCACAACATTAATTCTTCCATAGGTCTCCAGTCTGCTGGACTACCCTGAAGATTGTGGACTTGACAAGCCTCCAAACTCACATGTGCCAATTCCTCAAAATTTAAAATATCCCTTTCTCTCTCCATATATATATAAGGTTGTATATATTCCATTGCTTCTGCTCCTCTGGAGAACTAATAAACCAGGCTGAGAAGACAACTCATCTGGTAACAGTGCCCCAAATCATGCTTCAGAACCAGCTAATGAGGAAACAGATGCTGCTGCCACCAAGTACTAGGTGGTGCCACTTGCAGTTCTGATTGCAGGTGTCATGGATGCTGGTTGCTACCACCTGTGCTTCTGCTCCCAATTCCAGGGACTATCTCTCTACAGCTGTCACCATTGCTAAAGAAAGTTCCTCCTGGGCTTCCCTTCCCTGTGTCAAAGTCTGGGCAGGTGCATCTGATGTGCAGAGCCTGTCACTTGCCCTCGTTCTTGTTGACAGAGAGGCTCACAAGCAGGTATCTGGTGTACTGATTTCTGTAGTAGAAGGTGGTCTTTTCCCAACAGAAGCCATAAAGTAGGAAATTCCACCAACCTTAGAAGTGGGCTCATATGCTGGGAAGCCAAAACTTTGAACAAATGTCTGCTACAGTCATCCTCTGGCTGGCAACATGAACATGCACACCTTTCCCCAAAATTTACCCTCCTGGAAATGTTAGGCTGTGCCTGAACACAGTGCAAATATCCCTTACACAGCTGAAAACCTCACTCACCTGTCCTCCACAGAGGGAAACTTCAAAATCTCCTGTCACTCCTCCAGGTCCCAGGTGAGAGTCTCCCCTGGTCTCATCCTGATCCTGGTTCTTCATTCTATATACTCTCTGACCAGAACCTTAAAGTCATCTACCACCAACACGTCCCAGGTTAGAGCAGATGAAGGAAGAAAGGGAGACGATAATTAGTTAACAGGTAAATATTCACACGGCATGGTGAGGACAAAAATGTGGTAAGATAGACAAAAAAAAAAAGGTGGAGAAAACCAAAACAATCTCCAGTTGTAATGAGAGCCTTACCTACACTGAGGAACTTCAGACATGCTCAGCTGGGGTGGGAGATCTGGCAGTTAAACCCCTGCATTGATGGGTCATTGGATGGGGGCTTACTGGGAAAAGCTGGTGACCTTCGATGGACCGAGGCAGTATTCAGACAAGTGGGGAAACTGAGAGCCTTGTGGCAGCAACAGTCCCAGCAGCTGGGGAATGAGTCTTTCATTCCTGAGAAGGGATCGTGGTGGCACATCAGAGTCCACTATGTTACCATCTTCCAGGGCACATGGGCAGCATCAGTTGAGGGCTATTCTGCTCTGCTGGGGATAGATGCAGAAAGGGAATAAAGGACTTGAGCTGAGTCTGAAACACGAATAAGTGATTTCCACAGAGGGAGATGAGAGTGGGGAGGATCATGTGTGAGGCTATTCTAGGCAAAGGGGAGAGGCTGAGTACATAAAATAGTCTGGCCTCTTTGGGAAGAAGCAGCCAGGAAGGTCTGGTATTAGGATGGAAAGTGTATAAAAGGGAAGGAAAGACAGAATGGCAGGCGTGCACCAGATCACAGCAGCCTCGTGGACAGGGTGACCTCACATTCTAATTTGCCCAGAACAGTCCTGGTTTACATCTGTTGTCCTGTTGTAATTTTAATAACTCACTCTTTTCATCTCAAAAGTGTGCTAATTGGAGTGGTAAATTATGGGGGCTCTGTACTCTAAGTCATAATATTAATTTTGGATTTTTCCCTGGATCAGTGGAACTTACCTTCAAAAATGATAATCAGAGGAGTGACCTGATCTGATATTCATTTTACAAAGGTCATTGTGACTGTGCTGTGGAGGGTGAAATTGCTCAGGGAAAGTCTATGAACAGGGAGGCTTATTAGGAGTGTTTCAAGAATTCAGCCAAAAAAAGAAAAAAAAATTCAAACCCTTAACTAAGGCAAATATAGTCAGGATGGTGACAGAGATTTTTGAGCGGTGCTGAGGAGGTAGTGTGTAGAGCCCATAGTGGTACAGGAATGGGAAGTTCTACAGCGATGCTCACATTTTGTCCCTGAGGGACTGCATGGTGCCATTTATTGAGAGAAGGATGAAAGTAGGAGAGTGGTGGTGTGTGTGTGTGTGTGTGTGTGTGTGTGTGTGTGTGTGTGTGTGTGTGTGTGTGAAGCTCAGAAGCAGGGACTGCTCAGAGTTAATTGGTCTCTTTTGGACAAGTTGTTTTTGAAGATCTGAAGAACATCTGGGGATAGGGTCCCAGGAGTCATAAGCTTTGGGTCTGATGCTCAGGGGAGGATCCAGAAACACATAGATTCAGAAGTCACCAGCACATTGGTTTATTAGGAGCTATGACAGTGGATGTGATTGTCTATGAAGAGAGTGGAGAGTGAGAAAGAAAAGATGAAAGAATAAAGCCCATTACAATGAGAACATATAAGGGAGTGAAGAAGATAGGCCAGCAAATGTGATCTGTAAACACAGGATCCA